GTGGTGACTTCGAACGGGCCAAAGTGAAAGGGGCCTTTGGGCCGTGCGGAAACACGGCTGTTACTAACACTCATGACGTTGCGCTGACGAGATGGGTGAAATGCTGGTTTGGATGCAAGTCTTGAAATGAGAAGTGTTCGTGTTGTTGCTGTTCTTATTATTGTTATCATCATTTACCTTTTTGAGGTCGATGTCCTGTATCACGATGGCTATGAGATAAGGGAGCTGGTGGTTTCGAGATGGGACCATACCATCTGTTTATGGTTTACCCCTTCTGATTGGTTTGGATGTTGTAAGTGCTACGTATTACGGCAAAACCCGCTCACTAAGTTTGGTTTTTCCAAACTTGGATTATGACGTTGTAGGTCCTAAATCTTAGAGTTTCAACAAATTCGACAAACGTAACTTGTAGAGATATCTCTAATTTTTCACTCAAAATAGAGCAGTAGCCAGATCCATCCTTTTTTTAGGATATGTTTCTTCTACCCCTTGAGCCCCATTACGGTTTTGTGGGTTCCTTGGAATAAGCTCATTACGCACTTTAGAAACTACTCGCGAGGCGCAAAGATTACTTCTGCAATAACCATAATAGAGATACCTAGCTCTTTAGGTCTAGAACTTGCCGTGGAATCATACACAGTATAAGTAAATACTAGAACCGGATGAGCGGCCGCACGCGCATCTCGGTCTCGATACTGATCAGTAGATATTGATGTTCGGCGATTGTACAAAACCCCGAGCGACCTTCTCGTTTATGCACAACTACTGCGGTCCGACTATGACCCTGCGCTTACTAACAACGTATTTTGATATTGGGGTCATCTCCAATTGCTAGACTCTTGAATCACGGAGATGTTTAGGTTTACTTTTTACAGTCGTCGAGCTTTCGATATCTCTATCTCCGAGAAGCGCCTGGAAGCTATCCATAACCAAACGACGGAGCTACCCGGCATGCAGAGCCCCTGCATGTTATGCATAAATTGAAGGCTGCCTAATGCGCAACCAAGTATTTTAGGCACGCCGTGATGATCGTTACTTACAAGTTTTAGAACGAGCATTGGCTTATGTAGACTGTCATGACTCAATTAATTAATTACCCATGTTATTAGTTTAAAAGTCCAGGCATCATGATAACAAGATCTTTCCCTTTTATGTAGTAATGGCCTGGGGACATGATTACAAATTCCGGCTGGGTCTAGATAATAGGCAGGTAAGCGTATGCCTATAGTGAAGCGTCACAAATCTGATCAACGTTTGGCAACCAACCATTCCGGGGGTTGTCCAGGTTGGCTCGGATGCATAATAAAACATATACGGATATATACGATGCGGCTCTGACTCACAATGAATTGCCAGCCCGTATGATATCATGTTCAACACAACGCATAGCCGATAACCCGGTACGGTATTCACGAGTTCTGACTAACATATCTAGTATGGCCGGCTCGCAAGGCGATATAGCGGCAGGGACGCCAGGGACGCCAGCGGATGACACAGATACTACAGCGAACTCCATGTCTGCGCAGTCAAGTCAGCCCGCACATCTTCGGAGCTGTGTTTTGTGCAGGCAACGGAAGGTCAAATGCGACCGGCGTCAGCCGTGCTCCAACTGCTTACGGGCGGGGGCAAATTGCGTTCATCCGCCCGGTGCTGGTCGAGCAGCTAAACGGCCACGCCAAGCTGTCGACACCAAAGTGTTGGACCGACTTTCCCAGCTGGAGACAACTATTAGGCGCCTCCAGCAACAAGCTAAAGATCGCGATGCCGAGCCTCAAATGAGTGCCGAGTGCGTAGAAGCTCAGACGAGGGGAATACCGGTTGATGATGTAATTCAGGGGGCCGAAGCGGCCACGGAACTGGGCCGCCTCGTAGTGGAAGAGTCCCAAAGTCGCTACGTTAGTAACGTAATCTGGGCAGACTTGACAGAGTCGGTTAGTCTTTCGAATCTTATTGTGGTCAGCTGGAATTTTTAACTAACATCGTGGAGATCGAACTACTACGTAATATGTTTCTAGATACCAACTCGAAGGACGACGAGTCTTCTCAGCTTGAGGACAGCCCTCCGTTTTACGATGCAGAATCCCCAAATTCGGGATCCTTCGGCCCAAATGCAGCCATATTAGGATACCGATCGCTTGCTCATTCTCTGCGTGACTTCCATCCCTCTGTCGAGCTGTCCATGAAGCTCTTTCAACTGTTCAATGACAACGTGTTACCAGTGGTACGCATATTCCATTCGCCGACGCTAATACGTCTCTTCTGGAGTGCGGTTGTTGCACCGGACTCCATTGACAAAGAAACAGAGGCACTCATATTCGCAATCTACTACTCGGCAGTCATCAGCATAGACCCGAACCAGTGCGCCAACATCGTAGGAACGTCGCGGTCCGTTGCAGTTGATCGATACAAATTTGCAGCAGAGCAAGCTCTGGCGCGCGCCAACTTTCTGAATACAAAAAGCACACTGCTCTTGCAGGCGGCCGTATTATACGTCTCGATTTTACGGTCTGATGATGGAACACGCACGGTATGGTCTCTCATCGCATTGACGTCTCATGTAGCACGCTCAATGGGGTTTCATCGAGACGGGACTGCGTTCAACCTTTCACCTTTTGAGACGGAAATGCGGCGCCGTATATGGCATCATATATTATTGCTTGACCACCGATCTACCGAATATCACGGTTATGAACCCCCTTTGGCTGTCAAGACAGCTTTCGATACCCGTTGGCCGCTCAATGTGAATGATTCTGACCTTTCAAGCGACATGGCTGAACCACCACCTGAGAGAGATGTCGCTACTGAGATGATGCTTACCCACGTTCGATGTCGTGCTTTGAGAATCAGCCAGAGGATCAAACAGTAAATAACCCCAATGCTTACTCTCAGGCCCAAATGCATCATCACAGAATGGCTATCTATTCTTTACTGCCCTAGCAAGATTTCTTTCTATTCGCCCATTTACTACAGCTGTAAACATTATGCTAATTCTTACTAGAGCAAGTCGTTTGCCATATCAAGCTCGTCTCCAGATGATGGACGAACACGATAAATGGATCGAAAAGTTCGTAGAACGGTGCAATCCAGCTCAGCCCATGCATTCTCTCTCAAAAGAAATATGTTACATATCCGCAGGACGAGTCCGGGCATTCATTGTATACAACGAATTGATGCTCCGAAAAAGAAAAGGGGAGACCAAAACGCCTCGTACTAGTAGTCGGGGTGAAGGGCTGTTTGACCATGGTAGCTTTGAGGCCGGATCCGATGAAGAAGCTTTGCGGAACCAGGCCTTTACATTGGCAGTCGCTATACTCGAAAGGACACACAACATCATGCGAGACTCCCGCCTGGACCGCTGGGCTTGGCACTCGCACACTTATGTCCAGTGGCAGACAGTAGCTCTCGTTTTGTCGGAGATCTGCGTCCGTCCGCCTTCTCCAGAATGTGATAGAGCGTGGGAATTAACCACGGCAGTCTATGATAGGTGGCTGTGTGTCAAGTTCCGTGACAAAACAGAACAAGGCGATGATTTCTTGCAACCCATGGGCCGACTTATAGCGAGAACTAAGCGCGTGCGGGATTTGCAACAAGCGCAGCAGCAACAACAGCAGCAGCAACAACAGCAGCAGCAACAACAGCAGCAGCAGCCACAGTATCAAGCACAAACACAGGCACCCACGCCGGGAACCTACGAGCTGATTATGCCGGGGCAGCGCATGTTTCGTGATACGCCCGAGAGTCAGACATCGCCTAACTTGGATGCCATGGACACAAGATTTATGCAGTCTGGCCTAGATTCTATGACTGCAGCAACAAGCCCCTCAGATATCTCAAGCAAGAACCCTCCCACGGAGAGGATCGCCGGCTACGATCCCTTTTTGGCGTGGTTGCCTGGCGAGTTACAGAACGAATGGCTTGAGTCGCTGGCGCGGGGCGACTTGGACCCTCGTAGTAACCCGCCTGAGATACCGATAGAATCTTTCTTCGACTTCTCATAATCTGCGTTGACCGAATAGTTGAAAGCGCTTGTCGATGGCTCAGTCAGAGCCAGACTAGCGACACCCAAAGGGATTGGGTTACATGTATATATATCTTAAAACAGCACATAAATGTGCATGACGATAACGATCGGGATCTAAATGACATCAAAGAGTTTGGTTAGACTGCATTGCGATGACATAGCGAAGGACTAGTCTAGATTGATGTACATATACCACAACCACCACGCGCGCGAGTGTCGGAGACTTCGCGAGATATCTCAGCTCATCCCAAGAACTCTAATCTTTATATACGAATATCAATGCAAATATCCATAGCTACACATCGATTAGCCAAGTATCTCTCTTCAGAATTGTGATCCTAGGTTAATTTCTGAGCGTTATGGCAACGTAATGCTAATGCCATCGTCGTGCCTTGCTTATTGTGTCAGTTAAAATCGAGAGCCCTCAGTCTGTATCCCATCCATTAACTCTATGGACACCATCAGATTCAAAAACATCATAAAGAAAAGCTAGATATTGTAAAAAGGGGGAGGCATTTCTATCATGCTCTCTCGGAAATTCCGGGTCCGACTGCTGCTAGGACCGGCAGATCTGATCTAATTTCTGCCCCTATTTACAAAGATGAAAAAGAAAGTTTATCTACCTATGTAGGCAAGCCCAATATGACCCTAAAAATATCTATAACTCACGTATAAGCTGCTTAGTGCCCAGTGTAGATCTTGATTGCGCAAATATGCCTTAGCTACGTTCCATTTCCATGGGCAGGAAATTCAAATATGCTTGCTTGTATGTATTAATGCGACTTAATGCGACTTCCTTTTGCCCAAACGGAAGCCTAAAGTTGCCAGCCCAAGCGTCCACATGTGTACTTGTGTACTTGGAAGGAAGAGGTATCAGAACCACCTTCCTTCAGCACACTTCGGGTACCTGCTTGCTGCCTGCCTACCCTACCCAGCAACCACCCGTACATTTAATCTAACTTGTCAATTACTCTTGCCAACCGAATTGGTGTAGGGGTTAACATTCGGGATTCTCAGTTCTATACCGAAATTCCCGAGCCAGGAGTTCGAGTCTCCTATTCGGTGATCCTTTTTTTCCCCCTTCTTCCCTTTTCCCCTTCCCCATTTCCATTCTGCTTTTTACCTGTTTCTCAACAAGTCCTTAAAACATTGTATCATATGAAGCATAAGATGATCTATTCTTATTACTTCATGTTGTTAAATTGTACAGCAATGCGCTGGAATAGGGGTTATAATGTTTTAAAGAGGATTTTAAAGTTCGTGAGGACTATCAACCATAGTCGTTACAAGCTCATGTAAAGTGGCGCTTGACCTGAACCATTTTTATAATACTGAAATCATCACTATTATTGATCAAGTAATTTTCGACATATATTGTTGGCGTGGATCATAGTCTTCTTTCGATGCGTAGATGATAAATATCCTCTATCTCGACACTTACGTCTCTCGGTAGCGCCGACATAATCTGTTGGGCTGTAAAGTTCATCTTTGAATGTAGTTCAAGACTTTCAACTAAGTGGAAAAGGGCTGATTTTATGGACGGCTATAAATGGTAGGAAAAAAAAATTCTAGCAGTGAATTGCCTTCTGAACTGCTGCATCCTTGAGAAAGATAACCTGCTAGGTATCCCCAGGCACAACACCACCCAACATCCGGGCTATGACTCTCAATTGGCGATTATTGGCATGACTCCAAGCATCTGTTTTGTCATATAGCAATGTTTATGCCTCCTAAATGTTGACGTCAGCTCGAATAATATTCAAAAATACTCCTAGAGCCTCGACACTGGTGCTCAAAGCGCAGACTACTATGAGAAAACCCTGTCCTTGTAGTTGCTCTCTGCTGCTACGATGTTATCGTTCAAGATCTGATGGGACAGCAACACAACCTTGGCCCTTCGCACGCGATCGCAGGGTATAAAGGCCGTAGACTTGAGAAACCTTGCAATAGCTCATTGCCAGATAGTTTCTGTAGCGAAAACACCAAGCTGTCAATAGTTTGCTATTTTAACAAAGGGAAGGATAGATAACCCAAGCGCGTATGTTACACGCCTCTGGGTAATTTGCAAAATGGAAGCTTCTTTATCCAGAGAGTAACCCATCATCTGCTTTATGTTTCTTATAAAGTGCGAACAGCCACTTCTGAGCTGGCACAAACTACAACTATAGGCACATCTGAAACTGCACAACAAAGATTATCCTGTACGCAATCATATAAGGCCACATTTAGAGGCCTTGCGTAACATCAAGCTTCGCACAAGAAATTATAAACCTGACTGCATACCAGGTATCTATACTGTTTTTACTGTCCATGTATACCCTCGATAGTCAAGGCTGCCTACAGTTAAAACAGTCTACCTAGATAACTTGAAAGGGAATTTCCTATGATATTGGCAATGGCTACCAAGTCGTCATCCCTAATACCTAATTTGCCTCACACCTAGTTTAAGCACAGCCCGCAGCGAAAGACATGATGCGTGTGCAGGCAACGCTAGACCGTAACTCATTTCAGTTCAGTGCGACTTTGAAAACGGGTATGATAGAAATTATTTACTATTTAAGGTACCTTGATGAGCAAAGACCCTGACTTACTTCGGACCTGAGGTACTGGCTAGGTACACTAATGTATTTTGCCCCACACTTCACACTGCTGTACCTACAGGGAGCATGATTGCGTCAACACGATGCTACCTGTGCTACTTGCCTCTGTACCTACCTACCCCTCCAACCATCTCCATTCACTCACCCACTCAGGTTTATTAGGATTAGGATTAGGATTAGGCAAGTCTACATACGTAGGTATGGGCACATCTCTACCTACTTCACTCGGTCCCCTTCTACCATCTACACCACTGAGATCTCTCCTACCTCGGCCCATCTCCCTCCAACACCTTCTGTAGCCGATTCAAACTTGGTCTGGCTCTCTTCCATCTTTACCGCTTGACTTGGCATGCAGCAAGCAGTGCAGCGTAAGGTTCTTGGCTATATTTCACCTCCCGCCGTCGATTTTACCATCATTCTCAGAAATCACCAATATTCTTAGCGACCAACACAAGTGACTACATAGCTTTCACCGCCCGTTCTTCGCGCCAGAGGCTGCCAACTCGCTAGAAGCATCCTTCTGCCTTTACCTCGAACGGACGACGAGCGAGCAAGCGATCGGCTCCTATTACTTGCCTTATCACACCCCGCCATCCCATCGATTGTGACCGCCAGCACTACTAGCCCGAGATGGACGACGACATCGACTCTTTCATGGCCGTGACGGGGGTAGCGTCCCGTGATGTCGCACGTGGATATCTTCAGATATCGGGTGGGGATCCGAACCGGGCCGTCATGGCCTATTACGAGAGCCCCGAGTTAGAGTCCAGCTTCAACACTGCGCCCTCTGCACCCAGAACCTCTTCGCAACAGCGAGGTACCTCATCACGCGCTCGTAGCAGCGGTCTGACAGGGCGGGAGGATTCTCACGGGGTTGTGCACATCGATTCCGATGACGAAGACGAAGACGACATTCGAATGCTTGAAGATGATGACGACGGCGGAGATGTCGCCACCATAGCTAGGAATGCCCAAGAAGAGGAGGACGCCGCTATAGCGAGGCGACTACAAGAAGAATTTTACGGCTCGGGTCCAGGCTCAGGTGCTGCAGAAGACGGTGTACGGGCTCCTATAGCACAGACGACAGAGACATTGGCCGGCCCCGGCCTGGCATGGGCTATGGAAGAGGATCGAGAAGACGCCGTGCTGGAGCAGCTACGAGCCCGTCAAGCTAGACAAAGACGGCAAAGTAAATTCATTCTAGCAACTCCCAACATCATATATTAATTCGTCTTATAGATCGAAACGCCAATCCTTTTGACCAAGCGCCCTCAATATGGGATGACGGGACTGCGCCTCCCTTGCTACCCAACACGCGATCCGACCAGAACACTGCTTCCCGAGCTGCGTTGCTACGTGATCTCTTCCGCCCGCCCCATGAATTAATGAGTGACGCCACGTGGGATGAAGCTAGAGACGAAGGCAAAGAAGAGAAAAAATGGATCATGGTTAATCTTCAGGATCTAGACGTATTTCAGTGCCAAGTCCTGAATAGAGATGTGTGGAAAGATGAGAAGGTCAAGGCTTTGATCAAAGAACACTTTATCTTCTTGCAGTACGACAAAAACGAGCTAAGAGCGCAATCATTCATCCAGCTATACTTCCCAAACGGAACCCACGAGAATAGTGACAACTATCCCCACGTTTCCATCATCGACCCCAGGACGGGAGAGCAGGTTAAGGTGTGGTCCGGAGAGTCTTTTCCTAAGGCAGGCGAATTCTACGGCGACTTGATCGAGTTCCTCGATCGCTACAGCTTGGCCGCCAACAGCAAGAACCCAGTCGTCCAATCGAAGCCCAAACGCCAACCGGTCGACATAGGTCGCTTAACAGAAGACGAAATGCTTCAGTTAGCTATGCAGAACAGTCTCGAGAACAATGGTGGCTCGTCAGGGTCCAGTGTACATGATCCAGACATGCTCACAAAAGTCGGCGAAGACATTGGCAAAGGAAAAGGCAGAGCGATGGACGAAGTAGTAGATCTTACGGGTAACTCAGCACAGCCGCCTTCTGGCGGCTCTGACGATAGAGCTGAAACCATATTTTCTCGGATTTCGTCGACCAACCCGCATGTAGAACCAGAGAACAACCCAGCGACAACGAGGATACAGTTTAGGCATTCTGGGGGGCGTATTATACGCCGCTTTGCAGTGGCAGATACGATTCGTCGCATTTACGAGTGGTTAAAGGCAGAACCATTCGAAGGCAAGGAAGGCGTTGTGTTTGAGCTCAAGGCAATGCCTGCAGGTGCAGATCTGATCAACGAACTCGACAAGACTATCGAGGAAGCCGGTTTGAAACAAGGTACTGTAATGATCGAGTTTATTGAAGATTAGACTTTGATTTAGATTGCATCAGGCGTACTGGTCTATAATAACGCGTCTTCTGGTGGCGGGGGCTGGGGACTTGCGTCGTTTCGAAAAGACCTTAGGAGTACATCGTTACCCATAGATAGATATTGCGACAGCCAAGTCAGGAGTTTCGGTAGTCATGCAACAATCAAAGGAGAGGCAAGCATACATTTATTCATGTATAAACTGCTTCCCTCCCAATCCTTTACGTCTAAACAATGGTTAAATTTTCTGTTTTGCGCAGCTAGCTGCGCTCAACCCTTTCGCTGAACAACTTATAAAGGGAATGTGCAATTCATTGCACGGAACATTATATATATACTTCTGTAATTGAGTAAGATAACTGAAGGTTTCAAGGTATGAAAAAAGTAAAAATTGAGGTATAGGAGGAATTGAACCTCCGAACGTTGGACTCGCGGGGAATCGAACCCCGGACCACTCCCATGCTAAGGGAGTATTATACCACTAAACCACAAGCCCATGTGGATTGATAGTAAATTGCTTCGTAAGACTGTAGATATTCCAAAGCGGATCGTCTTTGGCGAACAGTATAGGGGTTGAGGTCCGTTGTTTCTACAAGGCGAAGCAAGACTGAAATAAGTTTCTCCCAGACATTACAAGTGAAATGTGACATCACCACGAACTGCAAATACAGCGTATTGGTTCACGTGGTCACTAGCTTCAATGAAAGATTATATAATTCTACCAAATATCGACTTCTTTTAAGTTCCAATCTTCAAATGGTGTGTCTTTCAAAGACTTGTGTTCGGGAAACAGTAGGCCTAGCCTGCGATAGGCCATCGGTCTCGATCTATCCTCTTCTAAGACCAGAGCAGCAAACTGGAGGTTGTCGGAAGTCTTCTGCACATGCAGTAGAGCACACCAGACTTCGACTTCTGTTGTGTCTATTCCGCGTCGAGTGCGCATCGGTCGGTCCAGAGCAGCTTCTCCGACGAAGTGACTTGATCCCAACTCGAAGACTCGAGCTGTAAAACGTGGATGTTCTCCCCTGGTCATCGTGGTCGTCTCAGTACCGGAGTAATTCCCATAGCTAAATTCCGTCCGGCTCACGACATACTCTGCCGACCATGACAGCCGAAGCTTCTTGATTCGC